AAAAAACTGAAGTTCAGGTTTGCATGAAGCTGGTTGACAGCATGCCCAGGAGACTATATGCTGTCATTAAGGCTAAGGGTCACCCGACAAAGTACTGATAGTTGTGTAAATATTGACAGCTGTTTAAATAATAATTTTTGGTTTATTGTAATCCATTACATACCTTTCTATCAAAGTTATCTGGCATTATCAAGCTGAATTTGTTCTGACACAGTGTAACTCTGAGTTCTTGTCATATTTTATTACCATTTTCTAAACTATAGCGAATAAACTGTGATAATGTGAGAAATGTTGAAGGTGTCTGAATAAATTTTGGTTTGACTGTATCTATTTGATAAATGAAGTTAACCAACTAACATTATACATACTCTTGGTTTCTGTACCCAATATTTAAAAAATTTACAAATGCAATGAAAATATTGGTATCGGTACTCTGTATCGGCAAGTACCAAAAATAAAAGTATCGTATCGGGCGAGTATTGGAAAAAGTGGTATCGGTGCATCCCTAAAATGCAGGTTTTGGCCATTTGCAATACATAAAGCACCCGCCGCAATATTTCAATTAAAAATGTTTAATGTGAAAACACTTTAAAGTGCCTTTAAAACAGTGATATTAAAAGATCAAATACAGTACACACCTTATTGATGATGTGTGCTTTATGCAGGCAAGCAGATGAGCTCGGAATATGAACGCAATGCGCTAATGGTTAAGCGTCTTCTTTATAATGGTTTTCAATGGGAAAACATTTAATATTAAACTTTGAATATTGCGTTTATATTCTGGGTTCATCTGCTTGCCTGTGCAAAGTCTGCATCATCAATAAGGTGTATACTGAATTTGGCCTTTAAATATCACTGTCTTACTAAATTACTATTTAATGCAAACTTCGTAAAAATAACTGGCGGTCAGCAGAGGAAAACCTTGTTTTGCCCTCCAGGTGGGCGTTCCTGTGGGTGCGACGTCACATGAAAACTGTGAATACCTACTGTGCTTCCTTATTTAAAGCTTAAAATGTCTAATACAGGAATACATAGGCCGCTTTGCATTATTTTTATCTTATCATACTGATTAAACAGTACTGAATTCAGTTTAATGATATTCCTTGCACCCACCACACATTATGTAAGCCTATTGTTACACTGTTTGCTTGGGCATTTACCTTTTCCAGCACATAGTTAGAAACTGTACTCAGTAGACATTAGATGTTGCCAATATTGTCTGCCTATTTCCCCTATAAAACGGTGTCTGGTTATACAGTGGACGTTTAGTCTACGGTAAAAATATCTTGATTTAGAAAGCTGCAGTATACACTGATTCAGCGACACACTGCAAACTGCAAAGCCGTGTCAAGGTCATCCATCCATAAAGGATTTACAACAACCAAATATTAACTTACATGAGACTTTTGGTTAATAGTTTAACTTCATCTTAGGTTAATAATTGCTTTTGCAGCTCAAAGGTATCTTTTAAGCAACTGTAGTGTTGAAGGAGGAGCTAGCTTGAGCTTATTTCAATACAACCTGCTTCAACATTGGCCTGAACTGGAGTGTGTAAGAACAACTGCATTGGTAGGCAGCTCACTCCCCTCTAAAGCTGAACATGGGAAGAAAGGGACGGCAGAGAATAACAGGCAGTCTAGCATCTGTCTTTCAGCTTCACGCGGTTTTGTGAGCGTCTCAGAAGGTCTGCAGTGTGTGCCAGGATTGGTGTTTGATGTTCTATTGATACTGCACTCCAGTGTTTTTTTGGGCCCCTGTAAATGCAGTCGCTTTAGAAACCGCCGCAGTTACCGTCAGGACTTCACATGAGCAGTCCCTGCCACAGACACCGAGGTCAAATACATCTGCGCTTCCTCTGTCTCGCTCTTCTTAAATTACTCTGACCTGCATTTTCTTGTTCTCGCTCTTGTTCTCTAGCGCACAGAGCCTTAAAGGGACAGTCCAGCCAAAAACTGGTCAGCATTTACTCACTCTCGGGTTAGGGTTAGGTTCCGTGGAACTCAAAAAAAAAAAAAAGTAGAATCTCATTCGCATGTTTAAACTTGACATGTCAAGATCAATCATGGAGCAAACAAGAACCAATGATGTTTAACATCACAGGCATGTGTTTGTTTTTTGTACTGCATTTAGTATTATTACAGTATATATTGTTTACACTGCATGTTCATTGCAGTTCAGGGACAGTGTTTTTTTTTAATACATTAATATAGCAAGAATGAATTAAAATGACAAAAAAAGACAAAGACATTTATATTGTTACAAAAGATTTCTATTTGAATACTTTTTCTGTTTATCAAAGAATCCTGAATATAAATGTATCATGGTTTTCACCAAAATATTAAGCAGCACAACTGTTTTCAGCATTGATAACAATAAGAAATGTTTCTTGAGCATCAAATCAGCATATTAGAATTAATTAGGAAGAATCATGTGTCATTTAAAACTGGAGTAATGATGCTGAAAATTCAGCTTTGCATCCCGGAAATAAATTACATTTTAAAGTATAGTAAAATAAGAACAGTTATTTAGAATTCTTATATTATTTGACAATATTACTGTTTTCTTTTTGATCAAATAAATGCTGCCTCGGTGAGCATAGAAGACTTCTTTCAAAAACCTTAATCTTATGTGACAGTGTATATAGAAGAAAGCAAGTTTTTCTGTGAAGTGTGCCTGTGATTTGCAATACAGACTGGTTGAAACGACATTTCCACTGTATTTTTAAAGTGGCTGAAACAACAATAAACCAAACTTGCCTTGAAATTTCAGCACTGTAAACTCCTTTTGTGTTCAAAGAACAAAGTCAGTCATACAGGAATGCCATAAGAGTGAGTAAATGACGACATATCACCCACATTACCCAGAATCCTCAGATCTCATCAACAGCCATGGGCAACAAAACCAGACCCTGTCCCAGCTCGCAGATGGCGCAACTACACCATTATGCAGCCACAAAGTAAAGTGATGACCATTCAAAAGCAGCCATGTATCTGGTATTTCAAGACACCTTCCTTACAAACACATATGTTCTTAAATAACCCGGTGTTCATAGGTTAGGGAAAGCTTTGTATCAAAGTTGTAAATTAAGGTTACAGTTTCAAAGTCCAAGACAGTAACAAGTCTGTTTACAAGAAAAAAGCTCTGTTCTAAAACCTTGCGAGCTTCCAGTGTCACATGACCTTTCAGAAATCATTCTAATATGCTGATTTGGTGCTCAAGAAACATTTCTTAATATCAATGTTAAAAACAGTTGTGCTGCTTAATATTTTTGTGGTAACCTTGATACAAATGGCCTAGAAATATTTTGTAACATTACAAATTACCATACTGTCACTTTTGATCAATTTAATGCATCCGTGCTTAATGCAAATATCAATTTTAAAAAACAAAATTGAACAGACCCCAAACTTTTGAACTGTAGTGTACTTATTATGAGTTGTGCACATTTTGCTAAATTAAAAATACACGGCACGTATAAAATAAAGTGACCCATTTTTGATTAAACCAAATCAATTTCTATTGATACTTTTCAGTCCATCTGCTATCTTGGATTTCACTGACCTCAACTCAATGCAGACATGCAATACTGCCTTAGCATAAATAAAAAATTGAGGTATTTTATAAGGCAGTTGGCTGAATAGTGTTGCTGTCTACCTTCTGGAACAGTTGATGGAAGCATGCTCACAATGCCTTCAGATGCTGTCAAAACAAGCAGCCCACTAGGTTTTGGAACAGAACTATAGTACAGTCTGTTTTGGTCCAGGAATTAAAGCTTACCTGTAGGAGACGTTGAAGCCAGTGAGATTATATGCCGCGTCACTGAAGAAGTGCAGCAGAGCGAAGCCAGACTGTGCCACCACCTCTGGGACGGTCTCATTGCTGTAGCTCTCAGGAACAATCAAACCACTGGAACATGAAAGAGAAGAACACAGAACACTTGATACCTCTGCAGACAGGGAACCAAACACATTTAATAGTTTCAGCACTTTCTCATTTAACTGTGTACTTTCTTTATAATGGGCTTTTTTAAAAAAGTGTTAGGGTTGGATTTTTGTAGATGTCCTGTCAAATATTGTACAAACTATTGGAGTCATTATCCAAGTTCATACTTCTACTTGCAGGCTCACCTGAGGCCAGTTGCATAAACTTAGCTTCTATGTTAAAACCGTGTCTTATGAACTAGTTTGACCAATTAGCAGTTAGCCAAGGGGTAATCGGTCTTATTTTTTGCTTTCAAATTAGACCATTCTACATTTGTACCGTATGTAACAGACTTAAAAAAGACTTAAAGGGTTAGTTCACCCAAAAATGAAAATTAGCTTGTATTTTAAACGCGCGCCTCTGAGGTATACTAGTCTCGCACGTTTGTTTATAGGAGCAAAGGAAGCAAAGTTTCCTTACTTTAGCAAAGGAAAACCAG